ATATGCGCGAAGTTTAAACAATTTACTATCTAACTTTCCTTCTTTAAAATTTTTAAAATAAAGTGAATAACACATTTGATGTGAAGTATATAGGAACTTTTTAATATCATCGTTTATTGCACAAGACTTAAAAAAAAGGAGCTGTTTCAGCATACATCTTGATATCAACAAAGCACAAGAATAAGATGATCTCTTATAAACCTGTTTTAAAATATGGAATAAAAGCTTTAAAATCTTTTCATTATTTTTAGATGTAATACTGTCTTCTGAGGTAAAACATATGTGAAGTCCAGCCAGTACTAAAAGAAAATTTAAAAAATCTGCAAAAACTACAACAAATTAATACAATTAATACAATTAACTATTTTAAAATTAGAGTAACAACATTGACAACTTAGATAATGTAAAGCATTTAAATAACATATTCAAGGTACTACAGGGTTAAACCTTAATATTGTAAATAAAATCTTTAATTTTTAAATGAAATGATAATTATTTTTAAAATTTTAATAATTTCACTTCTTTTAAGACTCAATTTTAACTTTTAAATAAATTTTTCATATAAGTTTTTTATAAATACATACCTTATATATAGATAATCTATGTTAATAAAAAATGTTTTTAAGTAAATTAGCTTTGCATCAATTAAGCCTGAGGTTTATAAACTTTTTTAGTAACTTATTAAGGAAATATTAATAGTATTTTCCTTGATAGTACTTTACCTTAGGTAGTTTGTAAACATTATAGCATCTTCCTTGATAGCACTCTGCCTTAGGTAGGTTATAAATATTAAAGCATATGTTTATAACCTAGCTTCACTCCTTGATTTTTGTCTTGTTTCTTATCCAAGTTTGTGTTCAGTTTCACCATTTTCTCCCTTAGGTAGTTTTGTCCACGCAATGATCTCTTTAATTATTCTTTTTCTGACTCACCCTATCATCGGATTACTTACTAGTCTAAAGCTGTACCTCATTCTGCTCCATGGTTTTCACCTTCTTGTGCTGCTGTTATATCTAATTTTATTTGATTTTTTCACCTTAATTAAAAGAACAACTCTCTTGAAAACAAACAGTTATTTATTATTGCAAGAAATCAATGTAAAAAGGTATTTTTCAGTACACAAAATCTTGTATCTTATCTCAGAAGTTAGGCTCTAAAGACTTTTGGAAAATTTTCAACAGCTTTATTAACAAGGGTAGGTCTATCATTCTATCTCTTATTTATGGGACTGACCTTATTACCTCCCTCAAGGATTAAGCAGTACTATTTGCAAAGAATTTTTCTTCTAATTCGACTCTTGAATCTTATGGGTCTTTCTTCCATTTCAATTAAGCAGGTTAACCGTTGCTCAGGTTATATCTCAATTATAGGGCTTGTGGTCCAAACAACATTCCTGTCATAGTCTTACAAAATTGTTCCCAGAAAGTCTTTTTAATTCTCTTTAAACAATTTATATATAAGTGATTGTGTTTTGTTTTCCTGCCTGCTGAAAAATGGCATCTGTTGTACTAATTTTCTCCTAAAAACTCCTAAAAACATTCTGACCCCTTGAATTACGCTCCAATTAGTTTTCATTCTGTTACAACAAGGTTTTTGAGCCTTTGATCAACAAACTTCTCACATCGCATTCTGAGTCAAATAACTTTCTGCCTGACAACCAATATGGATTTTGATCCACTTGCCCTGGGTTGACTAGCTAACTGTTGTGACTGAAATGTTTTAACATGCATTAGATGGAGGCAGAGAAGCTAGAGCTATTGCTTTTAATATATCTGAAGCTTTTGACAAAGTTTGGCATGCTGGTCATGTTCATAAGCTTACTTCATATGGTGTATCCGAGAAAGCTTTTAAGATTATCAAACTTTCTGAACCCTTTATTAAAGTCATTCTCCAAGACCAACACTCTTCTTCATTTCTAGTAACTTCTGGAGTACCTCAAGGTACTATTTTTGGTCCTGTTTTGTTATCTACATTAATGATCTTCCCAACAACCTTACATCTAAAGTAGTTCTTTTTGGTAAAGACTCAACTTTATACTCCTGCCTTGAAAAAAGTCTTTTCTTTTCAATCACTTAGAACAGGCAGCCGATCTGCAGTGGGTTATAAATTTCAACTCCAACAAAACTCAGTTATTTACTATAAAAACTAATCACAATACTGTCACCATTCCTGTAATAATGAATGACAACTCTCTCACTGATTTTTTACTACTGAATTTTCATGGAAACTATATATACAATCAATTGCTAAATTAGAATCGACTAACGTTGCATCTCTTTATCCTGCTTGCCATTTTCTTACTCCTGAATCTATTCTTTACTTCTACAAATCTCTTACTCGTCCCTGTATAGAATACTATTGTCAAATTCTAGTTGGTTCTTCTAATGATGTTATTTTTCTTCTAGACAAGGTCCACAAATGCATTGTAATTGCAGTTGGACCTACTCTATTTGCTAAGCTTGAGCCTCTTTCCCATTGTCATAAAGTTGCAAATCTTACTCTTTTCTACAAATAACATCATGATAGCTGCTTAAAGGAGCTATTATCTCTAGTTCCATTTACTAAAATTCATTCTTATGTGACTCATCGTTCAGCTAAGTCTAACCCATTTACTTTATCTGTCCCTGCAAACTCTAAAAAATTTTATTCATTGATTTTTTCCCCACATTTCAACCCTTAGGAACTCTCTTCCATCATCCATCATATCTGACTAATACAGCCTACAATTTTTCAAGTCTTCTGTCAACTGTTTTATTGCTCTATAACTCTAATTTTTTTTTTCTAGTAATTCTTAACTTAACAGTGGTTTCTTGCAGTAGTGAGTTAGTAGTGAATCAGAATAAAAATGAAAAAAAAAATTATTTTGAATTTGATTCTTATTTGACTTTTTTAAAGATTCTATCTATACTAGATACATTTACCATTACATTAGAATATACAATATATAATATAGTATAAACTAAAAAAAATTATTTTAATTTCAAATCTTTTATATATTCCATTTATATTGTGCCAGAATAATAGTTGACAAAAAAAAAAAAGCATTTTTTATATTTAAACCTTTATTTTAAATTCAAATTACTAAATACTAGAACTTTTATGTTTAGAATTAACAATTTAAATTTTTTTACTACGAATAATTATTAATTTAACCAGGGGTCATTCACAAATGACATCACACAACTTAGGGTTCTAAATCTAAAATTTTATTATGAGAAATAAAAAGTGAATGTAATGTGACATAAATTCAATAAAAATAAAAACATTAATTGTTACCTATTCCACAAGACTGACAAAACTCTTCAACTTGATAGTCGTCAAATTTTTCTATTGCATCAATTACAAGCCTTAGGAACTTAAATCCAAAATCATTATACATTGCAGTTTTTAAATTCTTATCCATATCAAATAATGGCTTGAAAAACATCTGAAAATAAATATTATATATATATATATATATATATATATATATATATATATATATATATATACATATACATATACATATACATATACATATACATATATATATATATATATATATATATATATATTTATATATATATATATATATATATATATATATATATATATATATATATATATATATATATATATATATCTAATGCTTTCTTGCGGGGACTTTTTTAGCAAAAAAAGTGTTGTTTGCGGGGACCGGTTGCTTACGGGGACATAAATCGGTCCCCGTTAATTTCAGGCTTGATTTAATAACTTCTGCGCGATTAAAATGTCTTTGAATTATCATTGTATATAAAGTAGACCATACTATTATTGTTATAAAGTTAATATTCGTGCTTTAAATGTTGTTTTTCATTAGTAATTGGCTTTGCTATTTTGGGTATGTATATTTAATAAAAAGCGAAATCCATTGGTTTGCGCACTTACGGGGACAAACTAGAAAATGATTTTTTGCATGTATCATGTATATATATCTTACTTTTTTTTTTGAAAACTCTTTTATCTTCTTAGAAAAATTAAATAAATATTAAAAAAAGTATTGAACTATAATCTAATCATGAGTTTTTAAGAATATTTTTTTTCACACTTGAAAGTTTTTTTTTCAAACGCGAACATGCGAACTTGATTTAAAAACGCATTTAAAAATGTAAACAAAGGAAACGATAATGTTTTTTTTACTTTGACATTGACTTTATTTTTATATTATTAGGATTGATTTATGTTGTTTTTGTATTTTGACTTTAAATATAACTACTTTACAGATATTACAACTTGACTTAAATTTTTTTATTTTTGTAAGATGTTAAAATCCTTATGATATTATAGTATCTTAAACTTCAAGATTTTATAATATCACCAAGATGTTTTTATAAAAGATGTTTATGATACATATCACACATTTATAATATATACAAAAAAAATATTTATGATATATTATTTATAATATATTATTTAGTAAGATATTCATAATATATTTTATCCTGCTTTAGTTATAAATACTTTAGTGTCAGTAAAGATAATTTTTACTAACCTAAAAGTATTCATAATTAAAGTATGGTATAAAATATTAAAAATATCTTTAACAAATAAAATATTTATAATATCTTTGTGATATTATAATATAGTATGATTTCTTTTTAATATCTTTGTGATATTATAATATAGTATGATTTCTTTTTTGTATCTTCTAACTGTAATGCTGTCCATAAGAGAGTTTTTAAGTGAAAAATATTTTTCTAGAGTGTAAAAATAATAAAATCTGTTTAAGTCTATTATTATTTGTATCAAGTTTTATTTTAGTTTATGTAAATATTAATCAACAAAAATGAATTTTATTTATAACCAATGATTTTTTATTATTCCATTTTGTAACATAAATGATGTTGAAAGCAGAAGTTTGTGCAAGTTTTAGATAAATTGATGAATAATATATACATAGAAATCTTCATTTAAAACCCTATGTCAAAATATATATTTGATTTTATTTTGTATATATTTAAATTTAACAAATAAAGTTATTTAATATAATCTTTAATTTAACTTTAAAAAATCTAGCTAGCATTATAAAAAAAATCAGTTTTTCAAGTTTGCTATTTTTTATCGATAAAATAATGTTATGGTCAGAAGAATAGACAATCGAAAAACGTGTTATATTGTTAATTAAACTTTCTATTGATTGTAACGATTATTTTACTGATTATTCAGGGTTTTTTAGTTTGCAAATGATGTTAATGTCTGCATAAAATCAGTTTAGTTTTTTATTATATATCTATAAAGACTGATAAAATTGCAAGCCCTTTTAATATATTTGTTACAAGAAAATTGTAAACTTACAAGGGTATACAATAGTATTTACTTAAATGATAAATAACATAAACTATAGAAAGTATAAATAGAATTTAATAAAAAATTAAAAGGTTTTATTTATTTTCAACTACTTTAATTAGCAATTAGTTTCCTAATTTTTATTTAAAATTGCGATGTTAATACATTTTCAAATGCTGGTATACTTTTATTAATTTTGTTTTATATGATTTTATATATGTTAGTGATATTATGTTTAAGAGTTTTTAATTTTGTTATTTGTTTAGCATTTATTTTACTCTACTTTCAAAACATTTTGAGTCTAAGTAAAATTTTAAAATTAGGTTTTTTAGTTAAGCCATGTAAGTCATTTTTTAATCTGTATTGTGTTTTCTTATTTTAAAATATTTATTTGTTATTTTAGAATACTGTAGAAATAAAATTAGAATAAAATAAAAACTAGAAGAGACTGATCACATCTTAATCATATTGTTCTTCTAACATACCTTCACTGGATATATTTTATTTATAAAGTTAGCAAATTTTGAAATTATATTTTTAAAGCATATGCAATTTGAAAGAAACTACTTTTAATGAAACTTAAAGCAAGTAGCATGCAAGCTGTTAATTGAGTTGTTAATGATATATTCTCTGTATAGTACTGCCTGTTCATGAAGTGAATAATAGTAAAAGCGAATGGGAATACCAGCTGTTAAATCGTCCATTGAAATTATTAGCTTCGCAATGACGAAAAAGATAATTCTTTTATAAAAAAAGATGGATTATTGATAGTTGTCTTATTTAAGAACTGCTAAGGTGCATGGAGGGACAGCTAGGATGCATTTGATCCATTAAAAAGTATCCCAAAACACAAATTTAAAATTTAAAAAAAAAATTACTGAATAAATAAAGTTTTCAGAATGATTTAAAATTAGTTCCAGTTATTAAAGCAGTTTTTAAGATTAAAAATCTACAATTTTTTAAGCATAAATTAATACATTTTAAAACTTCACGACTAGATTTGTATAATAAAATCTTCGCGGATTCACTCAGAACAGAAATAGGAATTTTAACCAAACCAGATTGTGAAAATGCCACAAATCAATTTTTTTATTGTGTCTCTATTTTATTTAATGAATCTGATTATTTTTTTTCTCAAAATAAGTCTTTTTAAATTTTGAATATTATTATTAGCTTTAATTCTGATAATTTTCAGGGCATTTTTTACTTAGCAACTAATTTAAAATAAGTTGTAGGTATTGAATGACAGATTCAGGATTTTTTGGTAATTGAGATAGCTAACTTCCAGACAGGAGCAAACTCCAAACATAAGTATGTTTATACTTATATCAAATAATTAGTCTATTCAAAAAATTGCGATGATTGGAGGCAGGTTACAAAAAAGCCCTTGAAGTTTTTTACCCCCTATCCTCCTTACCCTAAACGTGAGGGGCAACAATTTGATAAAAAAATTTTGTACTTTTATCAATTATATTTATATTCATCAATAAATTTCAAGTTTTATAGTATTATCTCTCAGCAATCAAAAATTATGACCATATAAAATTGTAACCCCCTCATATTGAGGGGGTTTAAACTTTATATGGTCATAATTTTTGAACGCTCAGAGATAATACTCTGAAACTTGAAGTTTATCAATGAATATAAAATCTAATTGAGAAAAGTACAAAAAATTTTTTTTCAAGTATAAAAAATATAATTATTTCAAGTTGTTGCCCCTCATGTTTGATTTATGAAGTCAAATGGCTTTTTCGGTCCATGCCTCCATTCGTCGCAATTTTTTGCACAGTCACATTATTTGACATAAGTATAAACATACTACTAATTGGAGATTGCTCTATGTATGAAAGTTAGCTATCTCAATCACCAAAAGATCCTGGATCTGTCACTGGGTATATTGGAGTAACTATATCTGAACCAAGATTCTAAGATTTTCTTTTGGGATTTTTAATTCTTTTTACATTTTAAATTTATTTCAATACTGAAGATTTTACCTATATTTTTGATTTACTATTATTTTTCATTTTTCTACCAAAAAAAATGTATTTTTAATTTTAAAATCGTTTAACAAATTTAATTTAATTAAAAAAAAGTTTTAAAAAAGTTTTATTTTTTAAGCAAATAATATAATTTTTTTTCCATGTGGGAAGGGAGAAGAAGTTTTTAGCTCTCTTTAATTAAACTAAAGCTTAAAAATTTTCAAACAAATTCACTGAATTGAACTAGTTTTGTGTTAAGGGCTCGTCCATAAATTACGTCACGCTATAGGGGGAGGGGGGGAGGGGTTGGTGGTTTTGTGACAACTCATACAAAACTTGATTCTTAAGTATTGCAATTTTGTGATGAGGAGGGGGAGGGGGGAGGTCAAAATTGGTTAAAAATTGCGTGACGTAGTTTATCGACGACCCCTAACTAGTTTTTAGAAAACAAAGAGCTTATTTAATTTTAAAAAAATGTATAAATGGCCTTATTTTTAAACCTTGCTAATTCAAAGAGCATAGTTATTCATTTAGTTTGTAAAAACTAACTTTATTCACTCTGTTTTTTAAGTCCCTGAGAATGAACTTTTTTTTGTACTCGTTCCTAATAAAACGCATTTTCGTACATGTCTTTATAAATGCTGTTAAAGTGTAAATTTATAGTATTTGTAAAAATAAGGATTACATTTTATGTCTTGTAATATGTCAGAACACAGTTAATCTTTTGGTTTACAAAATTTAAAGTTACTTTTGAATCAGCAGCAGATAAAGAAACAAATAATTTTTATTTTTCTTATTTTGTCCCCAAATAAGCACATTTTTTGCATAACCCCAAAAATAAAAATTTTTCTGCTTGTTTTTATAATGAAATTTAAGAATTAAGCTACAGTATTTGTTAAAATATAAGTTACATGCTATGTCTTCTTACGCCACAGGTCGCAGTGAATCTATTGGTTTGCAAAAATTAAAATCATTTTCGAATCAGCGCTATAGTAACGCACATTTTTTTACTGGTCCCCGAAAATACATATTTTTTTGCATATTATTATAATAAAATTGAAAAAATTAAAAAATTACAATATTTGTAAAAATATAAATTATATGCTATGTCTTTTCATGTCAGAGCGCAGTGAACCTATTGGTTTGCAAGAATTAAAATCAATTTTATATCGGCGCTATAATGATTTTTTAAACTAAACTAGTTTTTTAGTTGGTCCTTAAAAATACACATTTTTTTACTGGTCCCCATAAATGCATAAATTTTTGCATGCCTTTATAATAAAGTTTAAGAAAAAAAACTGCAGTATTTGTAAAAATATAAATTATATACTACGTCTTGTAATATCACAGAGCGCAGTGAATCTATAGCGCAGTGGTTTGCAAGAATTAAAGTCATTTTTAAATCAGCGCTATAATAATTTTTAAACTAAACTTGTTTTTTAGTTGGTCCCCGAAAATGCACATTTTTTTACTGGTCCCCGAATATACATCGTTTTTTGTATGTTATTATAATAAAACTAAAAAAAAATTAAAATGTTTGAGAAAATATAAATTATATGCTATGTCTTGTCATGTCACAGAGCGCAGTGAACCTATTGGTTTGCAAGAATTAAAGTCATTTTTAAATCAGCGCTACAGTAATTTTTTAAACTAAACTTGTTTTTTAGTTGGTCCCCGAAAATACATATTTTTTTGCATGTTATTATAACAAAATTAAAAAAAAAATTACAATATTTTTAAAAATATAAATTATATGCTATGTCTTGTTACGTTACAGAGCGCATGGTTTGCAAGAATTAAAATCAATTTTATATCGGCCTTATAGTAATTTTTTAAACTAAACTTGTTTTTTAGTTGGTCCCCGAAAATGCACATTTTTTTGCATGCCTTTATAATAAAATTAAAAAAAAAATTACAGTATTTGTAAAAATATAAATTATATACTATGTCTTGACATATCACAGAGTCAGTGAACCTATTGGTTTGCAAGAATTAAAGTCATTTTTAAATCAGCGCTATAGTCATTTTTTAAACTAAACTTGTTTTTTAGTTTGTCCCCGAAAATGCACATTTTTTTTCTGGTTCACGAAAATGCATAATTTTTTGCATGTCTTTATAAGGAAATAAAGTATAAAATATCAGAAGAAATAACATTTTTTATTCGTTTTTTATCTAGGCCTTCTCATCCGTGTCATTTCATTCGTGTATCTAGGCCATCTCATTTTTATATAAAAAATAATTATTTCTAAATTATGCGTTTCAGTCAAATGATTAGTTATAAGACTTTTTTTTTTTATTTCTACATTGATTTTAAGAGAGCATTTCAATAGCAAGTTATAATTGGACGTATTTTTGATGGTGTAAGATAAATTTTTGCCGCTGGTATATTTAATTGTAGACTTTTTTTTCAAATATGCTCAGAAATGTTATTCAAATTTGTTATTTATTTGAGTGTTGCGATCAAGTAACGCTAGATAAACACGTTGAAAAAAATCTGAGATTAAAAAATTTTTAATATACTTTATGCGTCTATCTTTGTTGTCAATTTTTATGGAGTTAAACCTAATTTTTGAAGAGCGACCTTAGGTACAACAGCTTGTGATTTTAGTTTCAATTAAAAAATTATTGTACCTAAAGCCACAAATTATTAGGTGCTTTTACATGACGGAGATCTATAATTCAATACTTTATACTTATATTAATACAAATTAATTAATATAGAGATGTGATCATATCAGTTTCGCTATTTTTAAACAAGCCTTGAGTTTAGACATTCAATAAATCCGTTAAAAAATCCTTGTGCGAATTTTTTAAAACCATCGTCTAAATTTAAAAGATTTAGGTTTGTGTAAACTTTTTTTTTTTTTAATGAATTGCTAATTTAATTTGATTAAAGTTCATAAATGGCTTCCTTGTTATGACTTGTTCTGTCAAAGAGCATAATCAAGGGAACTGTGTTAACTAAATTAAACAAACTTTATTTTGTCTTTAAAAATAAAGCCGATCTTGATACCAAAACTAGTAAAAACAGGCGCTCTAACTACTGAGCTTTAACTGGAAATTTTCTATAGCTGGAGTGGCTATAAAATTGTCAAAAAAATTCTTAATTCTTATACTTTGGTTTGCAAAATGTAAGTCATTTTTAAAATGACGCTAAAGATACTAAATTTTTTAAAATTAAGTTTGTTTTACTATTTGTCCCCGAAAATGCACATTTTTATGCATGTCCCCGAAAAAACACATTTTATTGTAGGTCCCCGTAAATGACCATTTTATGTTTAAAAAATTTACGGGGACCATTTTTTACAAAAAATTTATATATTTAGTTGTCATTAAGTCTATAAATTAACCTCATGTTGCCGTGTAAAAAAAAAAAAAGAAAAAAAATTTTAAACAAAGTTTTCATAGAAAATTCTTAAATTCAAATTTGTCCCCGAAAATGCACATTTTTACAATGTCCCCGTTAATGATCAAAAAGGAGTGTATATATATATATATATATATATATATATATATATATATATATATATATATATATATATATATATATATATATATATATATATATATATATATATATATACATATACATATATATATATATATATATATATATATATATATTTATATATATATATATATATACATATATATATATATATATATATATATATATATATATATATATATATATATATATATATATATATATATATATATATATATATATATATATATATATATATATATATATATATATATACATATACATATATATATATATATATATATATATATATATATATATATATATTTATATATATATATATATATACATATATATATATATATATATATATATATATATATATATATATATATATATATTTATATATTTATATATATATATATATTTATATATTTATATATATATATATATATATATATATATATATATATATATATATATATATATATATATATATATATATATATATATATATATAGAGAGAGAGAGAGAGAGAGAGAAAGAGAGAGAGAGAGAGAGAGGGTAAAAATATATGAAATCATCCAAAAAAAAATAATTTTTGACACCCTTACGTCTCAGAATTTGTTTATTTTTACACCACTTGCAGTCCATATCAAAAAAATAATAACTGCAAAAATTTTAGTTGAAAATACCAATGGGTTCCAGAGATATCGTCAGTTGAAATAATGCTGAACAGCATGTTAGTGATTTTCTGAAGCGACTACAAAGCAACTTTGACATACAGTATCTTCATAAGGGCTTGGGGAAATTTCCTAAAATTTGGTATTCTAATAGATTTTAACTTGAGGAATCCAAAAATAGCACTCTTAAGACTCGATTATCTCAAGAAATGCCTCATTATCCAATTTTGTTCAAAATTATTGAATTGTAAGTTAGTGATTTTTGGAGGTAAAATTAAGACTGTGGCCCAAAATCCCGAGTAAAAATTTTAATTGTATATCATTATTTCATCTTAGGTCTACTGAAAAAAATTAGATTCATCAATTGTCTCTCTAATACGTGATCAAAATTTGCATTTAAAAATGGTGTCTTTTTAGAAAAATTTAAATTTTGTAACAAAAGCAATTAAAATATTTTTTTAAACATTTATTTGAATAAAACACCAAATAGTGTTATTTATTGACTAGTTTAAATTTAAATAAACATTTAAAGTCATGGGCCAAGGGAGATGCCCTCCCTACCCACGGGAGGCCCCTTTGCCCCCTCCCCAAATCTCCCTAGATTTTTTTTTTTTTTTTTTCATAAAATGAATAAATAATAGTTGATTGTTAAAATACATTTTAAAAACATATTTTTTCAGTTTAAGTTTGAGAAACGATTTATTTGCGTTACTTCAAATCGATAAATACTTACCTCTTATTTCAAAGATCTTTTTACGAAGTCATAAATTTCAAAAACAAATGTTTTAAAATGTTTTTAAAACATATTGACAATAAATATCTTTATGTAGTTTTAGACTAATATAGTCATTGACATAATAAGATGGGAGTGATTTGTGATTTATTTAAACCCCCACCCCTCCTCAGCCTACAATCCAAGGATTTGAAAAAAATAAAAGACATTTAAAATGCAAATTAGGTAAATAAAATAAAAACAAAATTATTTTAAGCATAAATAATTTTTTTTTGTAACCAACAGTTTATATTCTCCAAATCTAAATCAGTTATGTTGTATGTACGACCTGATATTGTTGTGGGTGTAGAAATTAGGCATATAACTTCAGAAATGAGCACCCAACACTCATCAGTTCTTATTGGCCAAAAGAAGTTTTTACCTGGTCCATGTGGATGCATGAATCTGACTTTTATATCAAGCTCACTTACATCTTCAGCAATCCCTACTCACCAAAATCCATCATAAAAACATGCAATATAATCCATTTTTTTAATATTTAATGAAATATCTACATAATGTTTGCTTTTTGGAATGATATCAAATATTTCAGTGCATGCATCAATACTTATTTTTTTATAACTTATAGTGTTTGGAGCAATTGGAATAAAATGATGATACATCCTTGTGCCAGGAACTGTTCTTCCACCTAAATATCTTTTTTCTAATTGTGCTCGTGTTTGATCAATTTCTTCTTTTGAAAATAACTTAAAATAAATTCCATTTATCTTGGCTTTACAAAAGGAGTACATTAAATTAACATCTAAAATCTGCCCAGTAGTTATTTGTTTTAGACTTTCTTGACATACTACTCTTTTAACAGTCCCACCAATACCATCAGAGGGGGATTTACCATGACTGGTAGCAAAAAATACCCATTCAGCATTTAAATCAAAGTCTTTACTGTGATGACAAAGATTGATAAAAATTTTTAAATTTTTAAATTGTGCTGCACAACCATCAGAAAAGTATTTCACACTTGATACATCAGGTAGATTTTCTTTGATATATCTAGTTATATTTTCCTGAGTCTTGTAAATAAATCCTGTGTCATGATCAACATCTTCTGAAAGGTAACAAAAAGATTTATGTTTGAGAAGTTTGTTCTCTATAAAATAAAGTACAACTGTATAAAGTGAGCATTGACTTTTGCTCCAGTGATAACTTTGAACCTCATCCTGAACAACATATTGATAGTTTTCTGCAAAATCTCCTAAAATTAAGCATTCGTTTTGGTTAAGATTTTCTTTACAGTTTTTTAAGTATCTACTTTGAGTTTTTGCAATATATGAATGAGTGGTAAGGTTGTCAATACTGTTACATAATAAATCAATAAATTCATCTAGTGGCAATGACTGTGAAAGTAGTGTTGTACGATCTGTACTCTGCCATTGCTTAAATACTACATCTTCTTCATGCTCATGGTCCATAAACTCCTGCACTAAAAAACTTTTTAACGCCTCAATAACAGGACATTGGTTACATCGATGCAACATACATTCTGCATTTTTAAGAGAGCAAACAATCAATGCCATGAAATCTTTATAACTTTTATTCCACCTAATGGCATCAATGAGAAATTTTGTATTTTGGTGATGTATGCAAACACATACATTGTGGGTACCTGACGCATTAGTTGTAATACACCATTTAGGTTTAAGAGTACAAAACTTTGACAAACTGACTTTGACGTTAGGGTAGTCTTTTTTAAATGCAACATGTAATTCATTAAGATTGAGTAGCAATAATCTTTTTTGAACATGTTGGTTTTTCTTAATACTTACATAATCTTTTTTTCCTGGCATCATTCTTGAAAATTCATCACTTTGATAAAAGTTAATCACTAAATTAACTGATTCTGGTGAAAGTGGGTTTCCAGTTTTTTTCCCGGGTAATGATAGAATTCCATTCTCATTTTTAACTTTTCTTGCTGTTCGAACAAGATACTCAGACACTTCAAAGTAGCTTGATATCTTTTTATGTGTCCATGATTTTGGTGCGAGTGTTAACATTTGCACCTTATGGCGATAAGAGTCAGTCTCTGAAATTTTATTTTTTATTTCATACATTAAAATGTCTAGATCATGGTCATTGTTAATGTTGTTGTTTAAAATGGGGCTTTTTATTTCTGTTGTTAAAAAAGTTTCTTTAATATTATATGCTAATGAGACCATTTTTGCAACTCTGTCAATAGTGTTCTCAAACTTTTGTTTTGCTACTGGCAATTTGCTGTGTTTTGAAAGACTTTTTAGTTTGACCGGTGAGATTCCAAGCAATTCTATAGTGGCATCTAACTTAATTTTTTTCTCACTTTTTGATTCCCATTCCTCCTGTGAATTTAAATCTTCATCAGTTTCTATTGCTTTTTTGTAACATTTACTGCAGAATTTCCAACCTGGGGTTACATAAACATTATTTTTTTGCAAATAGTTTGCCATGTCTATGGAAATCTTTATATTACCTAAAAAACAAATTTAGTTTTACGTTGTTAAAATAACTGAAATTATAAAACTTTCTATAAATAATAAATTGTTTTCTTTTAATTTCCATATCAATTCTGTTGTAAATAAGGTAAGATAACCTTTTATAGCAATTTTTTACTTTCCTTGTGTGTTCCAAAAGGATTGCAACACTTTGTAATTTTTCTCTCAAAATATTTTCCATAGAATTGCTCATGATAACAACATATAATTCTTATTGAACTATATTTTTCCTTTAAATTTGCTCGCCATATTATTTCTTCTTTTTTTCACAAGGAAGATCTTTAAATTGAACAAAACCTTGTTTTCTTGAAAATCCTGTTTGTGGCAATGAATGTTAAGACTTTTTCCAATGTCACATTTCTCCATATTAATTATTTTTATTATTTATTACCTAACAAAATAATATAAAAACTATAAAATTAAAAGTAATTCTTTAAGAAAATACAAACAAGTAAATACCTTTAAAAAGAACAAAACAAAACTTATGTTTTTTTTTTATATAAAAGGAGGTTTTAAGTCACCAATTTGAAATAATGAAATTTTTTTTTTCAAAATTAAAATTAAATTGTATGTTTTTGCATTATTTATTCATTTTATGCAAAAAAAAAAAAAAAAAGGGAGATACCCTCCACTCCCGTGGGAGTGGAGGGTATCTCCCTTGGCCCATGACTATAAATGTCCTAAACTATTCAATAAATGACACTATTTGATGTTTTATTCAAATAAATGTTTAAAAAAATATTTTAATTGCTTTTGTTACAAAAATTAAATTTTTCTAAAAAGACACCAATAATGAATAATACAATTAAAATTTGAAATAATGATATACAATTAAAATTTTTACTCGGGATTTTGGGCCACAGTCTTTATTTTACCTCCAAAAATCACTAATTTACAAGTCAATAATTTTGAACAAAATTGGATAAATGAGGCATTTCTTGAGATAATCGAGTCTTAAGAGTGCTATTTTTGGATTCCTCAAGTTAAAATCTATTAGAGTACCAAATTATAGGAAATTTCCCCGAGCCATTATGAAGATACTATATGTCAAAGTTGCTTTGTAGTCGCTTCAGAAAATCACTAAAATGCTGAGTCAGCATTATTTCAAGTGACAATATCTATGGAACCCATTGGTATTTTTAACTAAAATTTTCGCAGTTATTATTTTTTTGATATGGACTGCAAGTGGTGTAAAAATAAACAAATTCTAAGACGTAAGGGTGTCATGGTCTGGATGATTTCATATATTTTTACCCTATATATATATATATATATATATATATATATATATATATATATATATATATATATATATATATATATATATATATATATATATATATTAGTGATGTACCCATTAATCGGTATCGGCATCGGCTAAATCGGCCTTTTTTCGCACAATCGGTATCAGCATCAGCCTTTTTTACCAATATTCCAACCGATGGCATTTTGATATTTTTATCCTGCATTATTTTTTTGTGCATTATTATAATAATTAAATAATAAATAAACTAAACTTTGCGCATTACTTAGAATTTTTTGGATAAATTTTTATTTTGACTTTGTTTACAGGCAAAAGCTTCAAAAGTAACCCATATCTATATATTATCTATATATTTTAAATTCTTTTTCACTCCCAATAAGGTTTCAAGCAACCACATCAAGTTGGGAGTTGCTATAAAAAAAGAGTAGAGTTATAGAGCAATGAAGTGGTTGACAGAAGATTTAAAAAGTTGAAGGTTGTATGAGTCAGGAAAACATGAAGATGGGGCAGAGTTCCAAAGGGTTGAATTGTGCGGAAATAAGCTAGACAAATAAACGTTTTTGGAGCATGAAGAGACAGATACAGTCGAAGAATGAGACTTTAACGTCAAGTCAAGCAAGAATGAGTTTTGATTGATGGAACTAAAGATGAAAGCTCCTTTGAGCAGCAACCATGATAATATTTGTAGAAAAGAGAAAGAGATGCAACTTTACGATGATGGCAAAGAGGCTCAAGCTTTGCAGATAAACCGGGTCCAACTCTGTTTACAATGCGTTTTTAAACCTTATCTTGAAGAGAAAGAGCATCATTAGAAGAACCAGCGCAAATATGATAACAGTATTCCATACAGGGACGAATAAGAGATTTGTAGAGGTAGGGCATAGAATCAGGAGAGAGAAAATGGTGACCATGATAAAAAGAAGCAACCTTAACAGATGCTAATTTAGCAATCGATTGTATATATGGTTTCCATGAAAAGTCAGTAGAAAATGATAATCCAAGAAGACGAAAAGAAGTGGAATCAGTGAGAGGGTTGCTACATGTCGACAGTACTACAATAGTTATTTGTCTGACAGTAAGTTATTTGACTCGAGATGGAATGTGAGAAATTTGTTTATCAAAGACTCTAAGACCTTGCTAATAAAAGAAAGAAGACTGATTGGACAATAATCGGAGGGGTCAGTAAGTTTACCAGAGTGTTTAAAAATTAGAACAACAGATGCCATTTTCCAGCAGGCAGGAAAACAAGATTCAGTCAAGCACTTAATAAATAGTTTAAAGAAAATTAAAGAGAGTTCTGGAGAACAATTTTGTAAGACTGTGACAGAAATGTTGTCTGGACCACAAGCCATAGAAGAGTTTAATCGAGATATGACTATGAGTAATGGAAGCTGAAATGATTCAAATGTCTAACATTAGGTTAACTTGTTTAATTAGTATGAAAGGAAGAGAATGGCCATAAGATTTGAAAGCCAGATTAGAAGAGAATTTTTTTGCAAATAGTTCAGCCTTATTTCATGAATTAAAGTATAGCCAAGTATCAAGTATATTTCTGAATTTATAATTTTTTTATTTTAATTCACCTCCCTTCAATTGAAGATTCTACTTTAGTTATGGTTACAACCCATTTTCAACTTTAGAACTAAAGAATTCTTAGTAAACTGCATATGTATATTTTCTTTTTTTAAAATTAAAATAAAAAGTGTTCCTCTAAAATTGTATTTATTTTTTTGAAAGTTTTTTTTTTCATAGTGGAAAAAAATTAAAATGTATATTTTTTTAACTGAGTTTTTCTAATATCTTTTAAAAATAATTATTTGGCTTTGATTTGAGTCCAAGTATTTGTTTACCAATACCAATTTAAAGTTGTATGGTTTTATATTTTCAAATTTTTAATAATTAGTTAAATCATCAGTATCGACATCGGTATCAGCCTTTTCCCATTCATCGGCATCGGTATCGGCATCAGCCAAAAAAGTGATATCGGTACATCACTAATATATATATATATATATATATATATATATATATATATATATATATATATATATATATATATATATATATATATTGTATTTCACCTGATGATTGCAACAGCATGAAACTTAAAGTTGTGAAAATCATGTAGTTTTATTTTCTACTATATATATATATATATACATATATATATATATATATATATATATATATATATATATATATATATATATATATATATATATATATATATATATATATATATATATATATATATATATATATATACATGTACTTTCTCAAAATGTTTTAAGAAAGATAATTGAATTCAGATCAAAAACTAAATGAAACAAATAAAAACCAAAAATTTTTTTTTAAAACGACATTTTCAAAGTTATTTTTGCTTTATTAAAAATACAAAAAAAAAAAAAAAATTAGGCATCTCCCTCAGTGCCCCGTGCCCTCTGATCATCTGCCCTGGAAACAATTTTAACATGTGTTCATCAGGACTACACAAATGCTGAAAGTTTCTGAGCTTCATTTTGTCTGGAAAGTAGTGAAAAACCACAAGATTCCCCTACAAAAAAGTGGGGCACTTGCCCAGCCCCCCTTAATGTCTTGAGGCCTTGAAAACAATTTTAACATGCACATTCATCAGTACTACAAAAACTCGAAAATTCTTCAGAGCTCCAGTTAATCTGGAAGGTAGTCAAAAATCAATTGCAATATTCCATTAAAAAAAAGTGGGGACCATGCCCTTTTATCCATATATGGAAATTTATATACTCGCAGATCCAAATCTTTGAATTGAATTGAATTTTGAAAGATCAATGAATATAGAATTATTAATTAATTAAGTAATTTATTTTTTTATTTTTTTTTTTGGTATTAAGCATTAAAAACAGATATATAAAAAATTTTTAAGTAAAAAAAATATTTTTAAATAAAAAAGATATTTTTAAAGTTAATGTGACTTGAAACCTCCAAATAAATATTGCATTTTTGAGGGCTGGTCGATACCTACTTGAAGTAAAATAGTTATATTTCAGAATCTGTTGGGAGCTAGAGGCTAGAGGTTAGAGCTAGAAGCTAAAATTTAAAGGCTTAAAATGTTAGGCTAGAGCTAGAAGCTAAAATTTTCAAAAAACTTTTATTTTACTAAGCACTCTCAACTGTATAAAAATCAGCAAAATCTGAGATGTATGGTGACATAATCTGGGTCATTTGACATAGAACTACCCTATATTATTCTGAAAAGGTTTCTCCTTTTCTCCTTACCTTAAAATACCCTCTTTTCATTAGTGTAAGACAGCTTGAACATATCCTCTTTCAAATATCTCAAGAAAATAAAATCCCCTATTACAGTACATACATTAACTAACTACCTGGTTAGAACAGTTAAGGAAAGGGATAAGGTTTTGGGTGCATTTAACTTTTTTCTCTTAAAATTTGTGTAATTGAAAGTGGATAAAATTTACAAATTTATGTTTATTCTTACTTTAAGATTGACTAAAACCATTTTTGCATCATTTTTAGTAGATAACATATCTTTCAATATTTGTTCACCACTTACTAAAGAAACTAAATAAGAGAAAAAATAAACTATTTTCAATAATGCTAATATATATATATATATATATATATATATATATATATATATATATATATATATATATATATACATATATATATATATACATATATATATATATATATATATATATATATATATATATGTATATATATATATATATATATATATATATATATTTATATATATATATATATATATATATATATATATATATATATATATATATATATATATATATATATATATATATATATATATATATATATATATATATATATATATATTACAACTAAAGCAAATTAAAAGTTTTATTTGTGGCTAGCTAATTGGTTAAACAATTTATCAATTTATAATTATTATTTTACCTTTTTCATTTTTCATAGATGAATTGACTTTTTCACATAATTTCATTGTAATGCTGTAATGTTTACTTTTTATTTTAAACAAAAACTAAGAACAAAATTTAAAACCAGTTAATATAGCAATAATAATAATAATAAAAATAATAATAGCAATAATAACAATAGTAGTAGCAATAATAACAACAACAATAATAATATTAATAACTCTAAATCAATTTATTAAATAATTAATGTTCAATAATTCTAAATTGATATGACTTTAATCACTAAAACGTCAACTTAGTTTAGCCATGTGGCTAAGCAAAAAAAGAAGATAAATTAAATTAAAGATGTAATTAAACATCGTTTGGTACTCGTAAGAAAACAGTGAAAACAAATTACTCAATTTTTTTAGTGCAACTCGATATTTATATAAAAACTAATTATTATAAATTTACTTTTCTAAATTAAATGTTTCAAATAACATATTTAACAATAGTTGTTTACAAAATAAATCTTAGAAATATTTTCCCGCCTATTCGGAACCTTATTTATTTCGTACAGAACCAACGGCTAAATTAGAGGGTTTTTTCGGAAATTTTTTAGGAAAACGTAACATTGTTATATTGACAAATATATTTTTTTGTTTGCTATTTTCTTCAGATCCAAAAGGAAAATGAATTTTTAAATGTGCAGTTAGATCAAGCAATTACGTTGTGAGCAAATAGGACGTCGCTTTGGTCTCTTTGGATTTCAACACAATATAAAAAAAGTTTCAAAGTTACACCAAAATAATTTGATGAAGTGAGGATTTAAATATTGCTTACAGAAACAGCTGTTTCAGATATTAATCCGAAGGTTTTATGCAATGAGTTGCAAATATTTTTCAACGTTGTTCCAGTTTTTTTTCCTTCTTTTGATAATTCACGTATTATTTATGATCATAGTTTGAATATTGTTATTCCAACTTACGCCCATTAGTGTATATAGCCTTTTGTGGAGCTTTGACGGTTCCGATCACTGTTAAAAGAAGCTTTTCCAAGCTAAAATTAATAAAAATCATAAAATGAATAATTTAAAATTAATTCAAGACTTTGCTCTCTCCAAAGTGCAAAAAGTTGATTTTTGTTGAACGTTTATGAAATTGTATGGATGTGAAATTTGCCATTATTTTATTATTTCATTAATTTTATTATTTTAAATAATACGGTGTAGATGGTATCTGAATTTTTATACAAATAGGGAAACTGAACATTCTCTGTTGCCAAATATATTATTTTGCTTTATTTTTTCTTCTTTACTGCAACTTATATACAAATAAATAAATAAGAATATAAAATTAAGATGTCGTTTAAAAAATAGATAATACAAATAAAGATTTCATAGAAAAATAGTAAGAAACGCCAAAACTCAAAGAAATTCATGAAGTTTTTTTTCTAAAAACCGTGAATTTTTGTTAATTAAGCCCTAATATAGTATGATATTAATAAAAATTATCAAAGAATATTCTAAAGAATGAGCAGGGTCGACCCTAGGCATAGGCAAACTAGACAGCCGCTAAACTTCTCCGATTAGTAGAAGCCTCTTAGTCGTACCAGAGTTTTTAGAGGTTTAAAAGATTCTTTAAAGATTGATAAAATTCTATGAAATTGATAAAAGTTTAAACGAAATTAAACGAAAGTTTATTAAAAAAAATTATTTTATTATATAGTTATTTTTATTGCAATTTCCCAAAAGTTTATTTAATTATATAAATTGTTTGAACGTTGATAACTATACATGAGCAAATTATTCGCTATTACACGCTATTAAATAATTAAAAGGTCACATAAAAAGGGACAAAAATTTTCGGTTTTTACTATAAATATTACTGATGAGAGGTTAAACGAAGAGCATAGACAACTTTTTTCCCAACCGCTAACATGTATAGTCTATTGGTTTTAGAAGAAGTAGTTAATTTACAAAAAGAAATCATGGTCACGGAAGATACTGGTTCAAGCAATGCAAACGGGAGCCAAAATATCGACTTTAAAAGAAAAGATACAGGCTTATTGTCATCTTTAATTAGCGGTAAAGATCGTGTTTACTTAGGAGAAAAAGAACCGTTTTGTGATTCAGAAACAAAATATCTGCAAGATGAGAGTTTTAAAAAAGCGACATTTCTTTGTTGGATTTTTTTAGAAAGTCACAAAATGGTGAATGAATGATCGTTGTTGGCTTGTTCATTCAAACCATTAAAATTCTGATTTTTGTTTTTACTGCCCATTGTACTCAGATCTAAAATCGAGCTCACAAGGAAATACCAATTGGAAACAAGGAAATATCAATTGGAAACAAGGAAATACCAATTGGAAACAAGGAAATACCAATTGGAAACAAGGAAATACCAATTGGAAACAAGGAAATACCAATTGGAAACAAGGAAATACCAATTGGAAACAAGGAAATACCAATTGGAAACAAGGAAATACCAATTGGAAACAAGGAAATTCCAATTGGAAACAAGGAAATACCAATTGGAAACAAGGAAATACCAATTGGAAACAAGGAAATACCAATTGGAAAAGTATGTATAGTGTTCATGCTGATCATTAATTGTCCATTAAGCACATTCGTGCTGACGTTGTTTGGTTTAAGCAAGAAAATTGGTTTAAGAAACAAGGAACATTTGACAAGAAAACACAAAAAACTGGTCTCAAAAAAGGCTCAGCACTGTTACAATGTTTCAAAAAGAATCATTTCAAATGTGCGATTTCTTTCAAAACGGAATTTAGAACTGTTTGGCACTTTCAATCAATTGTTTTAACCAAACAATGTAATTTTTTTGGGATTGGTGGAATTGTTAGTAATTTACAATTCATGTCTAGAAGTTAATTTAAGGCGTTTAAAATTAAAAGAAGTTCGCGATCATTACTTGGACAATACAATTAAAGATGAGTTAATTAATCTAATTTGTGGTGCTGCAAAAAAAAAATGTTCAAAACTTGTAATATTATTCCATCATTTTGGAATTTACACCTTATGCTGGTCACCAAGAGCAAATGACAATGACTTTATGAATATGCAACTTTGGGAGTAGACCAGTAAAAATCAATAAATATTTTATGGAGTTCCTACTTGTCAATGGCAGAACTAGTTCAGATCTTGCTTAAAAAATTTTGAATATCTAAATTTGCACAATTGCATAAGCCAAGAATAACTCAATCCAAAAACATTTTATGTAATACGTGAATGTCACATTTTCAATCTAATTCTTGAAGACATTGCGAAATCTTCAGTCGTTGCAATAACACATTTTAGAATTTTGCATAAAATTTTTTCTTTTTTTGGGCGCATTAATATAGTGATGGCAGATCACTGTGTTACTCATGCACAGCAAGTCTGTTTCTGATGACCCCTTTAATGAAGAATTAATAGAGTAAAAGCTGTTAGTTATAAAATAGCAGCAATCTACAATGGATTGGTAGAAGTAGCTGAAAATGTCAACAATCCGAAAGCAAGCAACTGGACCGGTAAAACAATTCAAAAATCTTCCATTTTTGGTTACTTAATCACGCGTGGTACAACTTATTATTTCAAATAAATAATGGCAGCAAATTGATGTATCAAAAAATATGTAATTTGAGAGTGCACTGGAATCTATAAAAAGTAAAATCGAGTTTATAAAAATAAAATACAAGGAAAACAGGTTTATATCTGCTCGAATTTAGGCTAGAAAATCGGCTCAAGAATCAGGAATGGAACCAGATCAAATTAAATTTCTAGCTATCATAAGTTTATGAAAAAAAAAGAGCGCAAACAGTTTGTTTATGAAGTTTTAGATAACTATTTACAAATCCAAATAAAAAAATATCAAATTTATTTTTAAATTCTCTTTTTGATCAAGCACTTTTGTTGTTAACTAAACATTTTGAGGTAATGGAACGTCGCTTTAGTCTTTTTGGGTTTCTTCACAATATCAAAATATTTTTAGAGATTAACCAAAATTTCAGAATTACACTAAAATTGTTAATGAAATGTTGTAAGGATTCAAAAGATTTATGCAATGAGTTGTAAATATTTTCCAAAAATATTCAAGATATTTCGTCTTTTCTTGATGCTTTACGTTTTATTTAAAACCATTGCTTGAATATTGCTATACAAAATGGCACAATGAAATTAATTAGTTTTTAATTCAATTTTTAGAAGTTTTACTCATTAAAGAAATAATGGTGTTAAGAGGTTTCTTAATGATTTTAAAGTTAAAGAAATTGATTTTAATTAATTGATTTAAAACAATGATTTAAAAAGTTAAAGAAAAAGTGTCTTTAACTTTTAACTTTTAAAAAGACTCGCTGTCTATCTTCTCTTGTACGCTTCGTTCACTTTTGAATAACTTCCTACCCGCATACCTGCGTAGGTACTTAATGGAAGACCTCTTATCAGTTTACTTTTGGATCCAACTTAGTGTGAAAAAAATGTATTTTATAGACGTATGTATTTACGTATGTATATACGAGAATTTACGAGTTATGAGAATATATTTTTTTGTATTTCGTATTATCATTTTTTTGTATTTTGTATTATTTTTAAAATTAAATCTTAAAGTGAGATATTTCGTCGAACATCAATAATTTGTAAAAACGAAAATTAAAAATAATAGACTATCTTTTGTTTTACCCATTGTAAAAATTTGAAAGCATGTAATTTGAAAGTTATGAAATTATGGTTTCATCACTTTTAAATTACATGCTTTGAAATTTATTAAAAATTATTTATGCAAGTTCATTAAAAACTATTAAAAATATATATTTCTTTAAAAATTTTCACACTAATTGATACAAGCAACTAATATGTTTTAATTGTTATCTTTAGTTGTTGTTAAAACAATGGCCGTTGAAACATAATTGTTTCAATAACTTTTAATGCGGAGAGAAAAGGTGGCGTGCCCTAATTGTTGTGTGTTAAAAAGTAAGTTAGTTTATTTTGTCAAAGTAAGTTTTGTTTATTTTGCACATATTTTACAATGATATCCTTAAGATCTAATAAATATATATAAATACTATCTGACTGAATCAAGTAGAAGACAAAATGTCTTATCCTCAAGCCCCTTCGTGAAATAGAGTTTTACAAGTTC